CCAGAACTTCACATTCTCTCTTCGGACCTGGCCACTTCCTTTTCTTCGGAATTCTGCCTCTTCATCCTTCTGTTCTGAAACCAAATTTTCACCTGATTCCTTTAGTCTCAAGTTGATGGCAAGGGTCTTTCCGTCTGTTTGGCTGATGCATTTCTGCTTCTGAAACATCTTTTCCAGAGCCTTTCTCTGGTCCTCCGAAAACATAGCTCTCCTTAGAATGCCCCTCCGTGTGTCAGCAGAGGCAGTGGGGATGCAGGGTGCTGAGAAGGCGGCACCCGGAAGGAAGGGTCTGGAAGGTGCAGTCCGGGTCCTGGAACGCGGCCGAGGGCTGAACACTTGGAGGGCCCAGTGCGCACGGTAGGGCAGCCCAGCCTGGCCCTGGGCACAGCTTGAGGGGCACGGGCTGGTGGGCTGGGGCGCTGCCGACCCGCAACAAGTTCTTGATCCAGAAACTCTTGCCCAGGCTGCCGAAGCTGGTGTGGCCGGCAGGCTGAGAAGCGCAGAGGAGGCCTCCGCGTCCCAGTGGTCACCGGTGTGAGCCACCTGCTCTGGGGAGCATGGTGCGGGCCCAGTGGTGATGCACACCTGCGGAGGCAGGAGGATCATTCCAAGTTTGAGGCCAGCCTGGGTTCCATAGTGGACCCTGCCTCAAAAATCCAACATCAGTCATCAATCAAATCCCGTGAGCCACGCCACCGGGAGAGCTCCTGGGCGGGTGGCTCGGGGCGACATGGCTCTGCGACAGCCCCTGGCCCAACCCCAGGTCCATTACCCACCCAGGAGCACGAGGCACTGCCCATGGCCACGGGTAGGCGACAGGGGTGGCACCATGTCCCGAGCCCCAGCCCATTCCCGGCTCCCAAGCTTGCTGGGAGGGGCCGGGCCACAGACTGTCTCTTTAACAAATGAGCCCGCGGCCTTCCGCCTCTGAATCCACCTGTCCCGCGGGCTTGTCCAGCCCAGGGCAATTTTTCCTGCAGCCCCCATCTCAGGGTGCGGTCCACGGCTTCCTCCACTGTGGCCCAGCCACAATGAGGGAGACCTGGCCCCGCTGCACCGAGGCACAGCCCCCCTTTGTCACATGCAGGTGGGTCCCCCTCGGCCTTCTGTCCCCTGCAGCCTCAGCTCCACCACACTGCGAGGCCTGCCTTCCACAGCCCAGCTGGGCCCTCCCAACGAGCTGCCTGGTCTCCTCACCAGCAGGCCCAACAGGCTGATTGGAACAATGGGATTTTGTTTGTTTGTTTGTTGTTTGAGACAGGGTCTCACTCTGTAGTTCAGGTTGGCTTTGAATTCATGGCAATCCTCTTGCCTCCGCCTCCCAGAATGCCAAGATTACAGGTGCGCGTTCCCATACCTGCCTTAGAACACTGGGGTTTGCCTCATTCCTGATGGTGGTTGTGTGGCTTCTTCCCTTGGTCATTCTGGCTAGACATTGTTTTTCAAAGAATCAACTTTAATTTCATTGACTTTTGTTTGTTTGTTTTTGGGGGGGGGGGTACTTGGGATCAAACTTGGGACCTTGCGCTTGCTAGGCAGGCGCCAGAACCACTGAGCTAAATCCCCGGCCCTGTTTGTTTTTTTTTGGTACCAGGGATCGAGCTCAGGACCTGTGGTTGCAAGGCAGGTAGTGGAACCACTGAGCTAAATCCCTGGGCAATTTCATTGATTTTATTACCTCAATTTTATGTTTTTTTCCAGTATTATTGATTATTCTAGATTTAGCCTGTTCCTTGTTCAGACTCCCTCTGATTCATGGATGATTTTGAAATGTGTCGTCTAATTTCCAAGCATTTGGAGATTTAAGAAGCCCCGCGTGGCTCCTCATTCCTCCTCCAGTCAGAGCCCATTCTGTCACCGAGGGCTGCGCGTCAGTCCGCCGAAGGGCACAGGCGCAACGGTGGGCGCATGGACTTGGCTCCCCTCAGGGCTGTTGTCCCTCCCTCTGCTCCCTCCTGGGGCTGGGGTGGAGCCAGGGTTGTTGGAGATGCCTGGGCACCCGGACAGCTGATTTTCTGACACAAGGTCTTGCTGTAAGGTCCAGCCTGACCTTGAACTCCTTCAGTTGCCCGGGCTGAGCCTCGAAGTCAGTGTCCTCCTGCCTCAGCCTCCAGAGTGCTGCAATTACAGAGGAGCACCGGCAGTCCGGGCTGTGATGTCCTTCTCTACCCTGTAACTCTGTCCCTCAGCTCAGCTCTGGATGAGACTGAGACACACCTGCCGCCCTCACTTCTAACCATCTCGTTACTTGTCAGGCAGCAAGTTGGGCCTTTTTCAAAAAAGTTCAACCTGACAATATCTTCAGTGTGTCGAGACCACTTACATTTCACACAATTATTGAAAAGTTTCTCCATATTTTAAAAATAATTTTGTTTATTTGTGATACTGGGGATTGAACCCAAGTGCCTGAAAAAAAATTTTTTTGGTACTAGGAATCGAACTCAGGACCTTGCACTTGTGAGGCAGGTGCGCACTGAGCTAAATCCATGTGTCCCCCACCCCCACCCCACAATATTTTTTTGAGACAGGTTCTCAGTAAATTGTCCAGGCTGCACTCAAATTTGTGACCCCTCCTGCCTCAGCCTCACAGGGTGCAGGGGCTATGGGTGTGCACTGGCACACCTGACCTCAACAGAACTTTGAGTTTATTCTGGCTGGATTTCACAGCGCCCTGCTTATGAATCTTAGTCTTTAATAAAGTATTGAAGGAACTTCTTTAAAATGTTTGGGCCGGGGATTTAGCTCAGTGGTTCCACTGCCTGCCTCGCAAGCACAAGGTCCTGAGTTCGCTCTCCGGTACCAAAAAAAAAAAAAGTCTTGTAAAATGTTTGATGTCAGCGCCCTGCCCAGTCCAGCAGCACACGTGTGGACACTTGTGCCTGAGCCCTGGTGTGACTGCTTCCAAACACTGCTCTACCACCTGAGGGCCCTCCTTCCGCTCAGGGTCTGTAACCCATCCATTCCCAGAGTGCTTTCCTCTCCTTTCCCAGCTCGGTTGTAACCACGTGATGCTCGTCAGGAGTACAACGTGGGGCGGACTGCACTTCTGCTCAGCTGCCCGGGCTGTCAGTCGCGCTCCCTGGGGAGCACTGAGGGCTTTTCCTGCTGCACGGCCTGCGACTCCAGGGCGTCTGGGCTCCCTCAGGTCACTGCTGCCTGCATGCTCCGCTGCACGGGTGTGGCACCATGCATGGCTCAGAGGCACTTTCTCTAACTGCCTCCTCACCCCATCTCCCGTCTGGTAGGAGGCTTGGGTCCAGTCCCCCACACCCCACGCATGCCTGGTGCTCCAACTGTCCAGCTTGGCCTGGGAAGAGGAAATCAGGAGCAGCGATGGGAACTGCCCTTTCCTGGGACTGCAGTGCCGGGTTCCCAGCTCCCGTAAGAGTAGAGGCCCTTCAGGGTGGTCAGTGTCGCCTGCAGCAGCCTGTGCTGAGGGGCCTCTCCAGGACATCCTGGACCTTTATCCCTACCTGTGTCCAGGCAGTGCCGAGCAACCCAGGAGGTGCCAGACACCACTGTGCCAGGCTTCCAGCTTCCGGGGATTACAAGCCACTCTGCAGACCCAGGAGGTCTCTGCATGTGGGCAGCTGTTTAGCCAGTGGAGGCCAGAGGTCCTGGACCCCCGCAGCAGCAGCAGCTGCCCAGGTCCAGGGCTGAGCGCAGGCCGGAGCCACAAGCAGGGCAGCGGTCCAGCCCGTCCAGAGCCCAGGTGAGCGAGGATGGGGCTGCAGGCTTCGTCCACATGGTCACCAAGAGTGCCCCTGGTCCCCGAGAGGCCTCGGATGCGGGGTAGGAGCCTGCCACTTGCTCGGGGGCTGCTCCTCTGGCTCTCACCTGAGTGCAGGACTCCACCCCGAGCCTGGCCTGGACAACAGTGCCCAGGGCCCCTGTGGCATTTCGGGGACCTCCCTTGCCCCATCTCAGTGGGGTGCAGTGACCTTGGCCCTCGGGCTGGAGGGCGTCTGCAGAAGAGGCAGCAACAGCTGTACCTCCACACCTCCAGCTCGTCACAAACACAGCAGACAGGGCGCGCCTGGAGTGTGTGCCTGAGTGCAGACAGGTGAGGTGGGAATGCGCAAGCTTACCACGGCGACAGTGACACTCCGCATTAATTAAAATTAATAAAAATATTTTATTGAATTTCAGGAACTTGGTACTTTTTAAAAATTTCACATCTCTGCACACAAATCACCCTCCACGCGCAACATCAGAAGCCTGGGCTTCACGGTGGCCTCGGGTGCCAAAATGGCGCTCCCAGTGCGGGCACAGCTGTCAGCATGGCCAAAGGAAGAGCACTGAGGCGCACGGCTCTCGCACGGCTGGTCTTCCTTCTGTTCTCACAGGTGCGGGCAGAGATGCTGACGTTAACGTTCCTAGTCCCTGAGGGAGCTCGAAGTTCAGAAAGACACCGGGGAGCCACCCTGGACAGCTGCCACAGCCTGCGACCGGCCTGCGCCCGAGAGGCCAATCTCCCCAAGGCGCCAGGCCAGTGAGCAGCAGGCTCCCAGGGACTCAGAACCACGTGACATTTTCACAGCGCCTCGAAGTCGCGGAGGAAAACCTGGGCGCAGCTGCTTGCTAATCCAGGGTTCCGTTTCTGTCCGCTCAGTGACAGCGTTAAATTCCCGTGTGCCAAAGCTGAGGCAGGGAGCTCACTCTTCAGGCGGGCCCAGGCTGAGACTGCCGCCTTGGAGCGAAGGCTCCTCCTCCCACCCTTAGACTGGAGACCCCAGCAGAACGCAGCACTCGTGAGTGAGCCCAGTGAGCAGACAGCTGGGCTGAGGACCTGCCAGGCCCCACTGGACGCTGCACTCGATGCCCCAGAGGCGACTCAGGACGCTGCACCCCCTGGGTGCCTGGCAGCGGCCGCGGAGCTGCCCAGGTCCAGGCCATTCTGCAGCTGGCAGGCCTTCCTTGGGAGAGGCGAAGGTGTCCCGAGGTGTCTGGGGGCCACGGGGCCCCGAGGGGCTGCGTGCGAGGTCACACACACGGCTCACTCACAGATGTCTCACTTTATTTGCACACGGCTGAGTTCCAGTGACCTCGTGACTCACACCCATCATCTGCAGTACATGGCGACAGCTCAAGACGGTGACACAATACTTAGAACAGATTCATCATATTTGGTCTTTATGTAAATAAGAAATGTTTTTAAATTGCCTAAATATACCATTCTGAGCCATTTCATTCCATCAGGAAAATACAGGGCTTTTTTCCTCTCTTTAAAAAAAATTAAATACCAAAGCAACTACATTTAAATAAATAACACTATGATGATGACATTAAAAAATTCACAATAAGGCTGCAGCCCTGTGTGCGCGGCTGTGCCCGGAGAGGCGCGGAGCTTGTGTGAGGCCCGGTGGGCCTGGCGCTCTGCCTGCTCGATGCCTCCCGATGTCCTCGGCGGAGAGAAGTCGGCCTAAGTGTTGGACTCAGTTCTGGAAGGTTGGGGAGACCTCCAGGCGCCCTGGGGGCGTGCTCGAGGTCACAACGGCGGGGAGCAAGGGCCACACGCACCTCGGAGGGTCTGCACTCTTCCTGAAAGGGTGCGTGATCCAGGACTACGTCTCCCTCTGACAGGGTCCTGCTGTGCGCACACAGCACTTACGCGCGCGTCACGAAGGCTGGGAAATGATGCCAGGGTCAAAGTCCACACACACACACACCAAGAGCCAGCCAGTGCTCGGGCAGGGCCTGGGGCACGGTCCCGTCAGCCCTGCACCGTCCTTGAAGTCGGTGTTGGTGTCGGGGGAACGTGCCCGATGCCACCTGAGCCTGCCACAGGAAGACAGCATAACCCTAACCCTAAGCTGCTGCAAACCCAGGCGAGCCCAGACGGGGGCCCTGTGATTCTCGACTTTCCAGAGCAGAAATGGAGTGATGTGAAATGCCAAAGACCCCACTGTTTTGTAAAGAAAGTACACCTCAAAATATTCTAATTCCACATGTGAACAACAGAATACTGTCTTGTGTCCCAGCCGCAGGAAGGGTCCGGTGGGGGTGGCAGGGTGGCCCGGCCCTGTCCCCGAGGGTGCCCAGCCGCAGTCGTGGTGCAGCTCGGCCCTCCGGGATGGGATGGACCCGGCGCTCGCTTTGGGTGGACAGTGGAGCCCGCAGGCAGCACCCCGCAAGCTCCCTGCAGGGAGCCAGGAGGCCGTGCTGGTGTCCAAGTGCGAGGAGGAGCTGCAGGGCCGCCCGGGTGTTTCAGTGCTGCATGTGCTGAGTGCTCACAGTCCCACCGCAGGGTCTTTGCCCCCCAGGAGCTGTCCGGCGTCGGCCAGAGGCGATGTCTCCTTCGGCACCACAGGTTGATGTGTAAGGAAAGCTCTCCTGGCCGCTGGCTCTGCACCCCTACTCCCGCACAGCTGCCGGGGCGTCCACGCTCAGGGCGATGACGATGCTCTCACCTTCCGTCTTGATCCGCTTCGGCTCCGGCTGCTCGGCCTGGTCACCGTTCTGTCTCTTCATGGGCAGGGAAGCCGAGGCCGACGCGTGGGTGGCCAACATGTGCAGAGGGCTTGCTGCTGCAGAGAGAGACGGCGAGTCAGACCCCGCCCGAGAGTGCCATGGTGACCGCTCCACCCCCAGGCCACCTGACGAGGACCCTGGGACAACCCGGGGGCAAGGGCAGCAGGGTCTGGGCTGCCATGGGGACTGGAGCTGCAGCGGACCAACGACACCTCAGAGCAGGGGTTTTTGTTAATGACCGCACCTTTTTGTAGCTCTGGAAAGCAAGCTCTTTTGCACTGCTGTTCCCCAGAGCTCAGCCACAGTCCAGACAGACAGGGCGGCTGTCCCCAGGCCCTCCCCGGGCCGCTCGAAGCCTGCAGAGTGAGGCTCATCACAAGCAGGGCACAGGGCTGCTGGGGTCCTGTGCCGCCCAGGCTGGCCCAGCCTGCAGAGCACAGGAGGAAGGCGCCCTCTGGCCTGCCCACCGCGACTCCCAAGGCCCAGCTCCCACCTCTGGGGGTAGGGGAGGCTGCAGTCAGCCTGGCTGGCCTGGCCCACACTGTCAGAACTGCTCCCGGGCTTTCTGTGCAGCTGCTGCTTAGATGAGGGCCACACTTAAATCAGTAAGCGGTGAGGAAAGCAGACTGCGTTCCAAAGCCAGGCGGGCCTCGCCAGTCTGTGGCAAGAACAGGAGAAAGGACCGAGGTCCCAGGAAGGAAAGAAATCTGCCTGGCACTCTCCGACCCAGCTGAAGCACTCCCCCAGCCCTGCTGGCTGCCGACTTCTCACGCAGACACACAGTTCCCTGGAGCCTGCTGCAGAGCTGGGGGCTCTGTCACCAGCACACTGTGCCCGGCCGTCCTCACAGGCACCGCAGTTTCCGGGATGCCTCAGTCCCCCCTGGGTCTGCATCAGCTCCTTCTGGGGAAGAACCCACAAACGGAGCAGCCTGGAATGTGGGCACAGGCTCGGACACAGCACACCCCACACCCGAGGTCCCCAGGCCCTGCCCCACGGGTCCGTGTTAGGTTTGGGTGGGTCATGAAGCTGAGGGGCTCTGATCTTAACACATCACCTAGCAGGCACAGAGCACACAAGGACGTGAGTGAAGGGGAAGAGGGCACGCAGGACAAGACAGAGACCTTGGGGTGCGTCCAGGACTCCAGTAGGAGAGGCCCAACACCAGGAGAGCCAGCCAGCTCTGCCCACTGTCCCGGCCACAGGCCAGCAGGCTGTGCCACGTCCAGGGTGCATGCTGAGACTTTGAAACATCAACAGTGAAAAGTTAAATCCTTTGCTTTTGTTTATAATGGAAAACTTTACGAACTTAAACATGTGAAGGACCTGGGGGCGGACATGGAGGCCTGGAGCTGGCCCAGGGAGCTGGCAGATGCTGAGCGCATGAGAAACAACAGCTGGCCCTGCCACCCCTGCCCAGTCCAAACACACGGAGGGGCAGGCATGCCAGGCTCTGCGGCCCCCCGAGCAACAGGCGCACTTCAAGTCTTGGCATCTCCAGGGTGCCTGTTGAAGAGCTGGGCAGCAGAGACCCCAGTCACCTCCCAGCTGCCTGCAGCAGGGCCACCAGGTGCGTCACTGCAGGCCATGCACACCCTTGGAGCTGCTCAGCAGCAAGCACCAGGCATGAGCAGCTCTAGAAGCTGAGGGGACGCAGGGCATGAGCATGAGGACATTCCCAACAGCGGGAGTCCTGCCACCGGCCACAGGTGGGGCACGTGGGCCATCACCTCAACACTCAGGGTATCCGTTTTCCCTAGGAAAGGCTCTGATGCCTGGGGTGGGGCAGGGCGGTGAGCTGAACCAGTGAGTGGTGTAAACAGATGTTGCTGTCGCCCGTCAGTGCATATGCAGAAGATGTGCCAAAATGTCACCAACCTTTCTGACCTGCGGACTCAGAAGTCCTGCTGTGGCTGGGGGCTTCTGACTGCAATGCTTAAAGCCTGGCAGGCACTGGCATGGGTCACTGTGTTACCCACACAAGGTGGCAGGCACCCCAAAAGTGTAAACACCTTTGGTTTCAAGTGCAGTGCTGGGGTCCGAGCCAGTGGCCTTGCACATGCTAATGCGAGGTGAGTGCTCTGCCACGAAGCCACCTCCCAACCCTGACTCACCTTGTACAGCGTGAGCCTGAGGACCCTGCACTCCTGAGTGGGCTCAATGACAGCCAGGACTCCCCAGCACGCTGTACCGGGCAGGCCCTGGCTGGGGTTCTGACCCCTCTGTGGGTCTCTAACTGTAGAATACTGGTGGCGTCTCCAAAGGGCATCTGGAGCTCAGAGCATGAGACAGCACTCTTTCCTCCTCCACTGTCAGAAACTTCCGGTACTGGGCGCCATGCGGAGAGCAATGGTACCTGACTGGAGGCCATTCTGCTGCACCTGCACATCTACAAAGGGCCCCAAAGGGAGTCCCACGGCAGCCAGGTCCCCTAGAAGCTGCTCGTTCTCTTGCAGTAGACTGCCTTTCCTACAGCTTAGACAAACACTTCCAGACAGCACCAGGCCCGAGTCAGAGCCAGAGCCCTGAGTGGCTCCTTGCACAGAGCACAGGCACAGGGCCCGGCCCTGGGGGGGCCACAACGGCACCACATACCGTTGTTCACCTGGCTGTGCACCACAGCGGGGCCCGGCACCACGTGAGTCCCATTCTGCGTGACGGTTTTGATTGGAAGCTGGTGTTGGCCCAGCGGTGCCTGCTGCACTATGGTGACCGTTTGGACAGGGGTGGCCTGTGACGTCTGGATCACCCGGTTGGCAGTGCCCAGCGTGGCGTGGCTGATCGCAGGAACAGGTTCTACTTTCACTGAAATGAAAAGAGATGACACCAGCTAGTATTTTGGGAGAGCTGATAAAAATCTCACCAGTTTAAACTTTAAAAATCAGATGGCTCTAGACCTGCTATAAAATGTCTTTAAAAACAAATGGAGGGCCGGGGATTTAGCTCAGAGGCATCGCCCCTGCCTTACAAGCGCAAGGTCCTGGGTTTAATCCCCGGTACCGAGGAAAAAAAAAAAAAAAAAAAAAAAGGCAAGTGGAAGACTGGGGATTCAGCTCAGTGGTTCCGCCCCTGGCTCGAAAGTGCAAGGACCCAAGTTCAATTCCCGGTACCAAAAAAAAAAAAAACAGCAAGTGGAGAACGGTCAGAAAGAAGGGTCCTGTGGCTGCCTGTGCCGGCTCCTTGGCCTCTGTTCCCGGCCCGCCGCCCCTCTGGCGTACCCTCACATGCTCACCTTTCACCTCTCTGTGGTCCCCATTCTCATGTGGCTCTGCCTTAGGAGGGGCCAGCACTGCTGTCTGAGTGACCACAGCCTGTCCTGCAACCGTGTATGTGTTTGCCGGGGCCAGTCCAGCCACGCTGGTGACTGACACGGCTGGTATCTGGTGGACAACGTGGACTGTCTGCACGACAGGTGGCTGGGAGGTGGAGGTGGCCACGGCGTAGGTGACGGGCTTCACGGCTGGGGGTAGCGGCCGCTGCACAGTGATGAGGACAGGCTGACTGGACAGAGGTGACCCTGGGGAGACGGGGACAGGGCTGAAGCTCATGCGCTGTACACGCTGAGCACTTGCTGACAATGCGCGTGTTTAATCGAAAATACAGGCTGTGGCCTGTTTCACCTTTAAGTTACTGACAATGAGAGAAACCTGTAGTAGCTTAATAGGGGCGTTTAATTCCTGTATCTAACTGCTAAGACGCAAGCTTGGCTGTTTGCATTTTTTCCTGGAAGTCAATCCATGACGGCCGACCCGACCGTACTGGAGACCAACATCTTCACGGTGGGGCGTGGGGCAGAAAGCGCCCGAGGCTCCAGGTTGTCACCAGCTCTGGCCCTTCCGGGCCGGGCCAGGACGCGAACAGAAGGGGCACCACGAGGCCGGGAGGGCAGGAGTCCCAGCCGCAGAGAGTGCTCGGCACATCTCCGCATTGCCCAGTTTGTATTTCCCCAGGAATCACATTTTCATTCTAATTATATGTAGATAAACTGTGAAGTGTTCACCTGGTCATTCAACGGAGACATTTTTGTTTCTAATCAGTGTCTAATTTGGGTAATTTATAGATTTTCTGAGAGGGTGGGATGATTTTCATGAGTTTTGAATGATGAAGCGACTAACTGGAAAACAGATAAATTCTACATGATTTGGGGGATCTACATCCAGTGCCATCTAAAACACATTCACTGGCTTTAAAAACGGACGACAGTGCTGCTAGAATTCCCGACCCACCGCGTAACTACGCAGAGCGCAGGCGCGGCCTCTGGGACCCGCAGCCCGGCCCGCGTGCGCGTGCGCGTGCGCGTCTCACCTGGCGCGCTCTGGGCAAACCGCGCCTCCTGGATGACGGCGAGCTTGGGCTGGGCGGCGCCGGGTTCGGGCTCCAGGGGGGCCGGGGAGCCTTCCCGGGACAGGCTCTCGGGGGTCTGGGCGCCGCTGGAGTGAGCGGAGAGCACGCCTGCGTGGTTGGGAGAGGCGGGGGCGCTCCTGTGTCCCAAGAGAAGGCGGCGGTTTCACCGGAGGCGCTCGGAGGGCCCGCTGCCCAGCACGCTCACTGCAGAGGGCGGCCCCGCTCGCTCGCCGGCTCCCCGGTCACCTGGGGCCCACAGGGGCGCACCGGGGGGGACAGGGACCCCCAGGGGCCGGCCGGGCTCTGCTCCTCTCGGCAGCTCCTGTGCCGTGGACAGCGGGCAGTGGCGAGCTCGCAGGGGCTCGCGCTCATCTTTTTTTTAAAAAAACAATTAGTGAAGCTAACGAGGTGTGATTTTAGACTAAGGCAAATTAACAACCTGGAGTTTAAGCAGCTAAAAGCCAGCTGTAAAGAAGGGTTCACATGCCAGGGAGAGGAGCCCTTCCTGCGGCTGCCTTAAGTGGCCGACCAGATCGCCTGAGTTCAAGGAGCAGCAGGCACCACGGCGGCACCCGACCGTTTCCAAATCCCCATCCCGACAATCAGGCACTCGCACTCTTGGCGGCTCCTTCGACTGAGGAAGGAAGCTGCGGCTTTGACCACAGGTGAGGGAGGCCTGTGGCTCCCTTGTCCTTACCTAGAAGAGAGCGGTCCCAGAGGGGTTCTAAAGCAAGGCACGCCCCTCGGCCGTCTTTTCCTAAAAGCCTGCTCTATCAACTTGCTCTCAGAGGCAGGGTCTATCCTCCAGAAGGAGCCTTTGCCTGGTTCTTCCTGCGAACGCGGTACTTTGATGAAATAACGATTCAGAGAGAGATTGTGGCGAATTGAATTCTATGAAACATAAAAAAATACGTAGAATTCATATAATTCTTTGCTGAGAAACAAAACTGTGCGCTAGTTTTAGTGCCCTGCAAAGCAGAAACCTCCATGTTCAGCGCCCAGAGCCCCAGGAGGACTCGGAGGGTGAACTGAATCTCGGGGAAGACAGTTACCCCACCCCGGGAGCCCCGCGGCCGCGGCCGCGTGGGGTGTGGGGCAGGGCGAGGGTCTCCGACTCCCGACTCCCACCTCCCACAGCAGGAACCAAGGCCTCTGGGACAGCGGGGACCTCACTGCCAGCTGTGCAGAACCCTGAGCCACTCCTTTCACGTAGTGCATTTCACAGACAATCGGCGTGTTGAGTCTGCCATGCCATTTCAGGAAAGTCACTCTACTGTAGTATGGAGCATTTGGTAAACCAGCGAACGCTGAGAATATTCACTGGTACCACCTTCCAGGAATAGATACAGGGCTCTGTATCCGCGAAGAATGTCCAAGTAGGTTTTCGTGTGCCGCCGAAGCGAGCACTCCAATCCCAGGAACTGCATAAGGCATGTGAATAAAGTCTCTCTCAACTCCTAGCCCATGAGTCTTTCCAGCCCCAAAGCCCAGCTTCAGGTTTGGCAAGGGTTTAAGAAAACTCCTCACCGTGGCCTGACTCGGGCCATACCACTGAGGCCAGAACTGGTTAAAAATTATAGATAAATACCAACATTTCCTGCATTGACACTCAAGAGTAAGTTTTAAAACTAAAAGTCTTTTTTTTTTGGTAGCGGGGATCGAACTCGGGTCCTTGCACTTGCAAGGCAGGCGGTGGAACCACTGAGCTAAATCCCCAGCCCAACAAAGTCTTAAAGTGGTAATAAAATTTGTGGCTACCTAAAAATCATTTCTACATTCCCCTTCTAACAGGACTGTTAGCCACAGCTGAAATTCTGAATTGTCAACAGCAGCTAAGAAAACAAGCACATGCCAAATGTACTCTACAGCGTTCTCGGGACTGCCCGGTAGTAATGGGAGACAGGCCATGATGAAGGCCTCAGACCCGACACACCTGAGGTTTGTCGCCAGTAGCTCAAAGGGAACACTTGGCTGGCTGCTTCATGCAATTCTTTTTTTTTTTTGGGTACCGGGGATCAAACTCAGGTCCTTGTGCTTGCACAGCAGGTGGTGAAACCACTGAGCTAAATCCCCGGGCCCTTCACGAAATTCTTTAAATACTCGGATCTGTGGAGATCCAAGTGTTTCAGTATCCGAGGCACCTGTATGGGCATTGTCCCACCAGGTGGACCTGATGATCAACCAACCTTTCCTTCAGCTCCTCCAGAAAACAGATGTGAGTCCTCCTGGTGCCCAGTGCGCCTGGGCAACGAGGCCCGGACCTGTCTACCTGGAGAGGTGGTGCACCCCGAAGACTTCCCCAATCTAAAATGTCCCGAACCTCTGTGAGTGCCAAGATGACACCACAAGTTGGGCCTGGGGCCAAGCTGTGGTCACAGGACTGGCGAAGCAAAGTGTCGCGCCATAGGAAACTACCCTCTGGCTGTGTGGACTGGGTGTGTGCGAAACACCAAAGGACTCGGGGTCTGGACTTGGCTCCTTCCCCCAGGTATCTTGTTAGGTGTATGCAAAGATTCTAAACTATGAGAAAATAAAACCGCAAACTGTGCTGGTCCCAAGCACTCTGGATAAGGGTTGCCCAATGGCACGGACAGGCCCAGCCCCACAGTGCTGCCAACAGCGGGGCCCAGGTAGCCCTGGAAGGAGACCACCCAGGCTGACCCATGTGGAGTAATTTAATCTGCATGTTATCAGAAGGAACAGATGGTGAGCATAAGGGGACTGCAGAAAAAGGGGATGTCATTGCAGGGAACGAGGCTTTCTATCTGGAGGAAAGAGCAGGACCATGAGCCACAGGTGTCGCTGCTCTGCTGCCACCGTCCCACAGAAGTTCTCGGGATCAGGGAGCTGCTGCCTTCTCTGCGGCAGAGGTAGCAGAACCCCACTTCACTGTAACAGGCTCTCACCAAGCCAGTCACCCTTCATGACAAACCAGGGCAAGCAGTCACCTGCAATTTTCTGGCCAACGAGACTCCAGAAAACAGAGGAGGTGATGAGACATTTACTGGAGACCCAGCAGAAACAGTACCCATTTCCAACGTCATTTAAGACCTGCATAATGCCGTCAAGCCCAGGGTTATGTCATTCTGTTCCTGTGTATTAAAACCAAAACTGCAGACTCCAGTGATCTAGAAATTAGTACAGACTTTCCAGAGAAAAAGTAGGTTGTTGTACTTCCACGCTGAAGATGAAGAGATCTGTCACTGAGCAAGCCCTCTCGGCTGAGCTGCTCCTAACAGGCTGCTATCCAAGACCCAGTCATGAGCCCGATGCCTGCGCTCTGGTCACCCTGAGCTCATCCAGCCCTCTAACCTGACCGTGCGTCCTCAGGCTGGGTCTGTCCCTCAGCATCTCCCAGCAATGCACTCTACCGTGTAACTGTGCACAGGAAAGACCTGTTATGAAACTTGTAGGTGTCCTTCCTCTGTCTCTAAGACAGTCTCGCTGTGTAGCCCAGGCCGGCCTTAAACTCTCCGTGATCCTCCTGCCTCAGCCTCCCTAGCGCTGGGATTACAGCGTATGCCACCACGCCAGGCTTTTCTTTCTTCCTTTTTTTTTTTTTGGTACTTGGGATTGAATCCCAGGCTTCATGTGTGCTACACAAGCACTCTACCACTAAGCTACACCCTAGCCCTTTTTATTTTGATTTGAGACAAGGCCTCACTAAGTTGCTAGCCTTGAACTTGCAATCCTCCTCTTTGGCCTCCAGAATTAATGGAATTTATAAGTTTCTTGTAAACATGCCAAGGTGTAGGCATACTTCCAGAAGAACAGGGCTGAGGGTGAGTACAAAACATGGCCCCAAGCCACCTCTGGTCCGTTCGGAGGCTGAGAGCTCAGACTTTTCAAACTTTTCATAGTCACAACAAACATATAAAAAATTATAAAACCTTAAGAAATCATTTTGGCAGAAAAATGTAATCAAAAGAAAGAAATATGCCATTTTTCCTGATAGTTGTTCATTTAATCCTAAAATTTCCTTTGCAGGTTAACCAAAACTTTATGCCACAGGCAGATCCTATAAAATCCTAAAGCTAAATCCAGGAGGCAGTCGTGGGTGCCACTGAGGGCCTGAGAGGGGAGAGTCCGGGGGACTGGTGCCTGCCTGGGCTCAGAGAAGCACCGGGTCCAGCCCTGCATCCTATGCAAAGCACGCAGCTGCAGCACTCACAAGGGCTCTGTTTTGGCAGCTTTTGTGCTTTTCTGAAAAGAAACAGCATACAAACCAGATGTGCTGGTCATCCTGTAATCCTAGCTGCTGAGGAGGTAGGGGCAAGATTGTATGTTCAAGCAGCGAGACAGACAGCAAGAGCGAGAGACTGTGAAGTGGAAAGGCTTTTTTTTTTGGTACCAGAGATCAAACTCAGGACCCTGCGCTTGCAAGGCAGGCAACGGTGCCACTGAGCTAAATCCTCGGCCCAGCTGGAGCCATTTAAGGGAAATAATTACTGAGGATCTGGTTGGTAGAGTTGCGCCTAAAAGTTTTTTCCCTTCAATAAATTCAAAAGCTACCACTCCTCCCACCCACACTGCTAAATTATAGGGTTACGATTCGGCAGCACACTGTTTAAAGAATCATTTACTCATCAACAAAGCCTTGAGGAAATTCTGTAGTTATTCCTGGTTACTTAATGAATTAAAATATCACAAGCACATATTTCTTCCTTCATTTATTTATCTATTTATTTACGGAGACAGGGTCTCACTTTGTGGCCTTGAACTTGTGGTGATCCTCCTGCCTCAGCCTCCCACGTGCTGGGATTACAGGTGTGCACACCACCATCCCCAGCATGTTTTTAATATTCTATATTCCCAACTTATCCTTTCTCAAACTGTCTCAATTAGCAAATGTTCTACTGTATATTCAGTAGTCCGAACACAAGACACAAAAAAAGAAAAAAAATCTACGTAATTTAAAGGTTTGAAACTTATTGGTGTAACTTCTCATACTTTGTGGGGTGGAAGGGAGGGGAATAAAAGAATTGAGATGTGTCATGTGCGTGTACAGTTCCCCACAATGAATGGAATCACTATATAATGCAAATGTACTAATAAAACTTCTTAAAAATAAAGTTAAAAAAATAAATAAACTGCTTTCTACATCTGAAAAAACCCTCTGGTGTACAAGCTGAGCTTCGGTGCCCGGGTCCTCCCTGCTGGGCCGCTGGAGAAGCCCTGGAAGGGGCTCCGCAGTGGGACTGCTGTGCAAACATCACAGCCTGTGTCCCGGCAGCCGTGCCCAGGGAAGGCAGAGAGTGCAGGGAGAAGGCTGGGGTGGCCCAGGGCAGCGAACCTCTGGCACACATGTTGATTTTCTTTTTTTTTTGTTCCAGGGATCGAACTCAGGACCTTGTGCTTGTGAGGCAGGCGGGAGCACCACTGAGCTAAATCCCTGGCCCCATGTTGTTTTTCTTTTAAGACAAAAGATGTCAATGTATGAGCTGTTTTTTCTAAACTGCAACCTCAGTATTCAGAGTTGGTGCTTTGCGATAAATAAGTGGGTTTTGGGTTGCAACCCAGCACCCGCTCTCTAAAAGGTTCGCCATCCCTGGGCTAGACGTTTACACTCTCCTACATTTCAGATACATGGAATAAACTACAGTGACCAAAGAAACATCCCAAACAGCCCATGCTTTGTGTGATCCAGGGAGACACAACAGGAAAACGCAGCTTGCTTTCTTCCTGCTCTGTGGCATGGAGCCAGGTGCCCTCTCTCAGCAAGACAGTCTCACTCCTGTCTACCTGGCGTCTGAATTAGGTAAAGCACCAGCTTAATCTCCTCTTAGTATCAACCAGCATCTATAAGACATGAAACAGAAATATTTAATAAACTGAAACGATTTACCTGCCAGCCCTTGTCTGCAGTCCTATAGTACGGATAGTTTTTAGTGATGTGTGTATAAATTCCATTCAGGGTGAGTTGTTTATCAGGAGCCATTGTAATTGCTTGTACTATTAACTGTGCATAGGAATAAGGTGGTTTTGAATCATCCTGTATTTAAAAAAAAAGTGCAGTAGTTAACATAGATATTTTTAAAGCTAAAATTCAGGATTTTTATTTTAAATATTCCTCCAACAATGCTTAATTTTTATTATAAATTTAATACAACTTGGAAAACTTGGCGAAACAAATGGGAAAGTGACTTGCAAACCTCTCAGTAAACTCAAGTAAAACAAAAGTGTTCAGTGATATTCGGTACTTTAACAAGAGTTTCATGACTACAAATCACACTATTCATGTGTGATTTAAGCTTTTCAGATAGATCCAAGAATAATACTGGAACAATACTGTTTGTACTCCTGTCACAGAACAGGTTTTGTAATCTTTAAAAATAAAAATTTATATTATATGCTAAATTTTCAAATAAATGCAAAAAGGGGGGGAACATTGGAGAATATAAAAGAAGATTGAAAATGACATATAAAAACATGCAAATGAAAAAACCAAAAATACAACTAAGCAAAGTTGCTTGAACTTAGTGGAGTTCAGGGCAACACGCAGGAAGCCACCCCAGACTCCGGAACTCTGACCCCAGGCAAAAGAGAAGCTAGCTGGCCAGGTGTATGAGGAGCAGCAGGGCGCAGGCCACAGGTCCCTAGGCCCCGATCCTGGGGGACTCCACATGGGACATGCCGCACACTGTGAGTGTGAAGGAGGCAGAGCAGGGACGCAGCTCAGGATGTGTGGCATCCTGCACAGATGCTAACAGCCATGGTCACGGCACATTCAGTCTGTGGTAGCTTTGTGTCACTGACAACCCCAGATCCCACATACACGGGGCACAGCAGCATACGGTGGTAATCCCACCTACTTGGGAGGCTGAAGCAAGAGAATCACAAGTTCAAAACCAAGCTGAGCAACTGAGTGAGATTCCATTTCAAAAAAGGGTAAGGATGGTAGGGGGTGAGCACTTGCCAAGCATGCAGGAGGTCAGGAGTTGAAACCCAGCATCTTGCAAAACAAAAGCAAAACCCCAGATGCAGCACCATAAGCTGCTGGGGAGAACTCCCAGTCCTTGTGTGAACTTCTGGGAAAATGCACACACCAGCCCAATAAATAATATGAGTGAAAAACATAACTTGTAAAGAAATACAGTCAAGATACTATTTATATGAAGTTTTAAAACAAATGACTAGAGACAATATTCAGGGATAAACGCAAATGGACTAAAAGAGTGGGGAGGAACAAGGGTACTGGGAGTGGGCTGAGGCCAGGGTGTTCGATGCCATCCACCAAACAGAAAAACTGAACACTTCCCTAGCTCTGCCCAATGCACGGTGAGGACCCAGAGCTGAGAAGCGTTCACGCTGGAGGCCTCACTGCTGTGCCTTCTTGCTGTTGGTGCGCGTGCACACCTTTCCAGACACTAGCACAGAAAGGCTCACAAGGTGGGCGGCCAGGGCCTTCGCAGGCCAGAGAACATCCCAGCTTGCAAAGTAAGTGAGGGTTAGTGTTTTTCTTTTTTTACTTAGCACTATACTTCCCTATCAAAAAACATTTCACATATGCCCTTATTGGGCTACCATATCTCCATCACTGTGCTCTACAGGGCATTTAGGTCCCTTTTGATTGTTTCCTATAAACTGGGTCCCTTTCCTCCAAAGTCCTATAATAGAAATTACTTACTAGGTCAAAGAACAAAAACACGAAGAATCATATTGTGACTATCAGCAACTATGGTCCAAAAAACTACCCTGTGCCTTCCCAAAGGGTGCGCTCCACACCCTGGGTGCCGCCTTCACCTGAAGGGGCTCGGAGAGGTGCTGGGTGACTCCAGCCCCACACCACAGGCGCCTCACTGACTCTAGCAGCTGTTATGACACAGGCGACAGTGAGGCCTGCTGTGAGACCAGAACATTTACCTTTGGGCTGTCTCCACCAGAAGCTTCTTTTTCATTTTCTGGCTGTGAGTTGTCAGCCATTAAACTGAGGTCAGATGGCATCACACGGCCCATTTTGTACCCTGAAGACCCCGCTCCCCGGGGGCTGGATGGGCAGGAGTTTGCAGCACTGCGGAAGAGAAAAACTTGCTCCTTTAGCCCACTATCAAGCACACACCATATGTGCTTCGGTAACAGGCTCTGAATCAGGGAAAACCAATGAGAAAATTTTGTAAAGCAAGAGAACATCAGCATTTCCTATGGGAAAATAGGACTCCCAGCATTTCTCTGAAACCTGTGATTTCCCCCAAGAAGCAAAGCAGATACACATCACTGCCTAAACAACTCTCCACGATAGTGACCCGGAGAGGAAAACGAGGCTCCAGAACTTGTCAAGGATCCGGGGACACGGAGCACAGGGCCGCTCACCCTGCCCACTTGGAACTGGGACCCCAGGGCAGCGGGCAGGTCCGCCTCCAGGCCCAGGCCGTGTGCAGCCTCGCGCTCCAGGAAGCCACTGCTAGGTCGGTGGGGCATCCCGAGAGCAGAGACGGCACCTTCTCCTCACAGAAGGGACACAGACCTAACTGTTCGCCTCAGGCCTGACCACGGGCCATGTCCCTTGTGACCAGCACAGCAGACTCCATACATCAGTTTTAAAGATGAGCCACTGAGACGGAGTATCAATACAAGATGATTTAGAAACCCAGGAAGTTATAGAGGCACGGGGGGAAAAAGACAAAGACTGTGTTAGGCACGGCGGTACCATGCCTATAATCCCAACTACTAGGGAGGCTAAGCCAGGAGTATCACAAGTTCAAACCCAGCCTGGGCAACTTACTGAGACCATCCCAATTTAAAATTTAAAAAGAACTGGGTGGGTAGCTCAGTGGCAGAGCATGTAAGAGGCCTGGGGTTTAATCTCCAGAACTAGGGGAAAAAAATTGTTTTGACGCTTCAGGGTGCCTTGAGATTCCATATAGATTTTAGGACAGGTTTTTGTTTTGGCAAAATACATAACTGGCATTTTGATGGAAATTACACTGAATCCGTAGACTGCTTTAAGTAGTGTTGACATCTTAATGCTGCTAAGTCTTCCACCTTTCAATCCGTGAACATGCGACGTTTCCACTTGTCTGTGCTCTTTAGGTCCCAGAAGGCTGGTGAGACATCAGCTTCACAGCGTAACCCAGAGCAGCCTGAGTCTCCTCGTGCCCCTCTTCCCTTAGTGGGCCACACAGAAGTGAGGACAGGAGATGAGAGGAGCCCCCGCTGGCAGCTGCTTCCTGTGCGCAGCCGGGACAGCAGTGCCTGCCGACTGCAGAGAGAAGTGTGCTCCTCCCTGAGTCTGACTTACACACTCACAGCACAGTGCCCATGTGCCAGCCCGCATACTCATACAGCCAGCGGACCACAGTGAGCAGGCCTGCTCTACACTCAGGCCCACCCGACACTGGCTAGACCAGCATAGGGCCCGTGGAGCTGCCTTTCCCTCTCAGGCCGTGGGGCTGTGCTTGGTGCCGCCACCCTCTGCTTCTGAGTCACAGGGTTTTTGTTGAGTAAAAGTGACATGACTTGGTCACTTTGGTGTGTCCAAACTGAAGTATAAATTTTCAGAATTTATATGAAATTGTACCAAATTCATATTTAAAACCTATATCAGACTTTAGACCAATCTACAAATCATCACTTTAACTCCATTAAAATGAATCCTAAGTGGGCTGGGGATTTAGCTCAGTGGTTTAGCCACCTGCCTCACAAGCGCAAGGTCCCGAGTTTGATCTCCGGTACCAGGAAAAAAAAAAAAAAGAATCCTAAGTAAAAAACAGTAACAAGTCAGGTGTGGTAGTGCACACCTGCACCCGAGCTGCTCAGGAGACTGAGGCAGGAGGATCGGGAGTTCAAGGCCAGCCTGGGCAGGTTAGTAAGACCCTGCTTCAAAATTTAAAAAAAGGCCAGGCATGCAGCTCAGTGGTGAAGCACTTGGCTACCATGCAAGCAGCCCTGGGTTCCGTCCCAAGTACTGCAAAGGGGGGAGGGGGGAACACATGGGAATTGCATTTCATGATGCAGAAACTGGCAGCAGTTTCCCAAAATTCAAGAGGTATTTTAGGCACCCGTAACACCTCCCTCTCCAGGAAGGGGGGAGCAGGAGGGCGGGCGGCCTGTGAGCACACGTACCTGATGGTGCCCGTCGGGGACGGCAGGGGGCTGATGAGGTGGGCCATGGTGTCTGGAATGCTGATGGTCAGGGGGGAGATGTGCGGCTGCACGGGCTTCACTGGGGACTCAGGGGCCTCTGGCTTCTCCCTCTTCTCACTGGACAGGGCTGTGAACGTTATCTTGATATTCGTGCTCGGAAACCTGAACGTGCACCTGGGGAAGCAAACCACACACTCAGCACCTGTCTGCTACCCACGGGCAGTGACAGGGAGCACGCAGCCTCCCACTGCCACGCTCACCCACCAGGCTCAAAGCCCTAACAGCCAGGTCACAAGGGAAGAGTCTCATGACTAGGACAGCACGGGAGGGCCATCCAATCTCAGCTACTCCTCTCCTTTGAAAGTTACTGCGTAAGTAAACTTCAGGTCTCACAGTAGGTTTAAAACACAACTTGGAACTGAGGAGGCAGCTCAGAGATGGAGCGCTTGCCTAGCAGGTGTGAGGGTGGGGAAAAAATAAGTGACTGAATGAACAAAAAGAGAATAAATAGGGCTAGGGATTTAGCTCAGTGGTTCTGCCGCCTGCCTGGCAAGCACAAGGGCCTGAGTTCGATCCCCTGTACCAAAAACAAACAAACAAAAAAGGCAAAAACAAATCGTATTACATTTTTCCCAGAGCAAACAAGAGCCAGAGATATTAACTCGCAGGAGGAAAGGCTTACAACTTAGCACTCTGGCCCATGTTTAATGAATGTGGCTTATTTATTTTGGTCCCAGGAATCCAACTCAGGACCTTGCACTTGCCAGGCAGGCATGAATGTGGCTTCTTTGACATGACTCAAGTATATTTAAGAAAACGTAAAGCCTATTTAAGAAATGGTAAAGCCAGGCATGGTGGCACACGCCTGTAATGTCAGGACTCTGAGGCCAGAGGATGACAAGTTCCAGCCCAGTTTAAGCAACACTGAGCCCAGTCTAGGCTACTTAGCAAAACCCCGTCTCAAAACAAAAATAAATAAAATAAATCTAAAAGGCTAGGGAAGCAGCTCAGAGAAAGGCCCAATCCTCAAGACCACAAAAACAAAACAGACCGAGACTCACACAATCTCTGGTCTCAACCCAAGTGCAGCTGAGCACCACCTTACTGTGGGCCACAAACAGCCAGACAGCCCGACGGCAGGGCCTAGCTCAGCTCTGCCCGTGGCTCCGGCTGGGACCCTGCTGAGAAGACCAGCTGTGCTCACCTCTCCTACTGGATGCCCCTGCCCAGGAAGGGCCCGGCCTGTGGCAGTCAGACACTATCACACTTCCTCTGCTGATGTCAAGGTGACACATGCCTGGTCTACCTGGGGAAGAGAGGGCCGTGCTCACCTTATCCCCTGCCACAGTCTGTGCGCTCCACTCACAGTGCGCGCTGCCACTGAGCACTAAGAGGCAGAAGGCTGTGGCCACAGGCGTGTACTCCTCACTGGGAGGCTGGGTCTGGTCTCACCCGTCTCCTGTGTGCTGAGGCTCAGGTCAGGACCCAGCAGAAAAGCCCTTGGTGGTTGTTGGTGCCGTGTTCTCCTGAACCGCGAACCAAATCCAGTTCCCTCCACTCCATCACCCAGGCCGTGGTATTCCGTCACAGCAGCAGGAGCAGCCCTCAGGTCCCCTCCCTCCTTCCCCGCGTGAGGCGAGCCCAGGACGGTCCAGCGAAGTCCAGCAGTCTCCACCGCAGCGCAGCCCCTCCCTGCTGTCTGGGAGCCCACACGTCGTCAGGTCCTGCCCGTGGGGCTCCGCCTCACGCCGCACCCTCCTCTTCTGGTTGGGCATCCCAGGCATCAACCCTCCATCTATGCTCACTCCTGAGTGAGCTCATCCACACCCACGACCCTGACCTCCACACACACCCGGGTGATTTCACCCTTCCAGCCTTCACAGCTGTCTTCCTGCTCCAAACTCCGACCACCCGCCCAGAGCCCCAGCCACACAGCTCTGGGTCTCACTGGGGGCCATCCAGGACCCTCCCCAGTGGGGAGGCACATCCCTCAGGCACTCAGGAGTCACCCAAGCCACCAGCCAGGACCCACCCAAATGAGCACGGCTGCTCTGCCAGAGCCCAGTCCAGAGGAGAAACAAGCCCCGCTCGTCTAGGAGGCGATGGCTGTGCAGATGAGACGGGAAGACTGAGGCCTACTGCGTCCCTGCAGCATGGAGAAGAAAGAGGGCAGGCAGCATGCGGACACGCTGCAGGGAGAAGCAGCAACACCTGAGGTTAAGGTGTTCACCCAGACAGGTGCCGCGGAGCGAGAGGGACAGACGAGTGCTGTGGAAGTCTAACTGCTCGGCCGTGTCTGAGCGCATAAAGCCAAGGCGCGCCAGGCACTCAGGGCTCTACGTCAGAGGGAGACAAGAGCTCCCCTGGCCCCCAGGTTTTAACCTGATTCTGTGTCTTTGTTTTAGGTTTTTTTGGTACTAGGGATCAAACTTGGGACCCTGTGCTTGCAAGGCAGGCGCCGGAACCACTGAGCTAAATCCCCAGCCCAACCCTCCGTGTCTTTTTTATTCTTCATCTTCATCACCCCTTGGTCAGGAAGACTGCTCCTACAGGTGGATACAAACCCGTGTCAATGAAGGACTCTCACTCAGAAGATGTGCGTGAGGAGCTCCCGGAAGTCAGTAATATAAACAAGCCAATTAAAAAGGTGCAAGAGACGCCCACAGACACAGCCCCTAAGACAACGTGCGGCGGAAATACAGAGCAGGGCGTCGCACATCACTACCAGTGGCACAGTGTGCACGAAACCCCAGCCACAGGAGGCGGACGAGAGGGGAGGCCTGTCACTTGTGTCCCCAACGCGCCCTCAGTGAATATCCACAAGGACAGGCAGCTCTGAGAAGACAGCGCCAGGCACCAAAAGGGTGCGGAGAGGACTCCGGTGACACTGGTGGGTGTGCAGTGGTGCAGTTGCATGGAAAGCCAGTCGGTGGTTTTGAGTAAACTTACCCATCCAGGTAATTACCCAAGCAAACAATGGCACCACTGGCACTGACCCGGAGAGGGAAACACACATGCAGAAACCTGTATCCACTGCTGAACGTGCCCAGCAGCTTCACTCGAACAGCCCAAACCAGAAACTACTCAAACCCACTTTGCCAGGAAAGCAGATGGACAAAACGGCTATGCGTGTAACCTGCCTGGCCCTTACGGCATCTGCTCAGTGGAAAAGGCCAGTCCCCAGAAGCTACCCTGGTTGATCCCATGCACACAGCGTTTTCAAGATGCACACACAGGCTGTGAGCCATGCGTGCAGAAAGGCTGGCAGAACGGGCGGCACATCTGCTCATGGGTTACACACGTTAGCACGTGCAGGCAAGGCCAGGGGTGCAGTCCCCATGGGAATGAAAATGAAGAGGAGGCCAGGCAGCAAGAGCAGGGTGTCAAAGACCTCAGTAAAAACTGACCCCACGGTGAGTCCTGGGAGAGCCTGCAGTACTAAGCCTGTCAGAGAAGCTGTGCGTCTCAAACTACAAGTCCCAACTGACTGGCCACACCACACAGTGACAGTGTCAAACTCACCTGGGGGCCTGACAAACTTAACCATCCTTTATTTGGACAGATATTGACAATTTTAACACGATTCAGAGTTGCACAAAATCCTTTTCCCAAAGGTGGGTACATGATGTTCTTCCGTAATCTCAGCACTCTGGGAAACTGAGACGGGAGATCCAAATGTTTAAATTCAGCCTGCGTAACTTACTGAAACTGTCTCAAAACAAAAAATATCAAAATGGTTGGGCACCAGGGTGGTGGGGCATACCTGTAATCCCAGCACTGAAGGAGGACCAGAAGTTCAAGACCAGCCCGGGCAACTTAGTAACTTAGCCCTTGTCTCTCGAAAAGTTGTTTTTTTTTTTAAGGGCTGGGGACGTGGCTTGGTGTGAAAGCCCTGGATTCAACCCCCAGGACTCGGGGTGGGGGAGACACAAAAATCCTCCTCCTGGGGTCTTACCTCTCTGTAGCCACATGTGTGAACTAGGGTGTCACGATGCAGACTTAGGTCAGGCCCCTCTAGACACCCACAATCCCCGCAAACCCCACACCTGCACTTCTGGCAGAGGGTGCTGTGGCCGGGGACCTGGAGGACAAAACCCACCCACCCAGGGCAGCCCACCCAGGGAGACCAGCTCCTGGGTCCTCCTTCGAGGCTCTGCGGCCTGGAGTGCTGCTCTGGCTACTGAGCAGGGCGCCCTCAGCCTCGCCCCTGCCTGGCTCAGGGCCCAGGACGGCCACTGCTCCCTTCCATCCTCGGCATGCATTTCCTCTGCCCACACTAAAGCAGACAGACACTGCTGGGAAGCTCTGCAGCCACTCGGGCTGACAGTACTCCAGAAACTTTGCAATGCTTCGCCTACCAGACATGGTGCCTGGCAGACACAAGGGACCCTGGCTCAGGGTAGCAACAGTGCCCTTGGCTGAGGGCCCAAAGCCAGTTTCACTGCCACGGCACAAAGCAACACCAGGGTCCCGCCTCAGTGTGCTAAGAGGACACAGCTTCACCTCTGGGGCTCTGACAAAAACCATGCTGTGATCTAAACAAGGGACACTCTACAGAAGAGCTGAAACAGCATCAGTCCTCTTCGAGAACAGCAATGCCATGGAGGAGAAAGACTGAAGAAAGGTGACAAATTCAAGGAGATTAAAGAGAAGGGCGAGGTCGATCCAATGTGTGATCCAACACAAGAAAACGCCTCGTGAATGAAGTTGGTGGGGGTTCCAGGGGTGTAGTTACAGAGAACGTTTGCAAGAAAACACACCTGGAAATACCTGGGCTAGAAACACGTCGCCATGTAGCTGCCTTTCGGCGAAGGGTGCACGATGTGGGGAAACACTGGTCTTGGGAAATCTGGGGACACAGAAATGTTCTGCACTATTTTTGCAACTCTTTGAAGCAATCTGAAAAGAAAAATACGCATACTTTCGCAATGAGGCAAGGCCAGGCCCACGCTGGGCTGGGGCTGTTGCTCGCATGGGGAGAGCGCTGGAAACAGTCTGCGGGTGACCCTCTCCTGGAGACCACAGCAGCGCCCATGCCTGAGACCCACACCACTGCCGAGGCATCAGAGAAGCTCTGCTCTGGGCAGCAGCTCCTCCCTCAGCTCTGGTCCCCAGTACACCAAACTCCAAGGACGATAGTGTGGGATACCTGGCCCAGGAGACACGTCACCTCA